CATATGAATAAATTGCTGAGGTATCCATGTTTCCTCACCTGTCCTCCATGTTGTCCTCAGGGTTTAATAAACAAGTCAACATTCACAGAACTAATGTGATCAGTAACTGGAACTTCACATTAAAAGTTTGGCATTAGTTTGTTAGAAAAACAAACAGAAACTTTTATTTCACACATTTTACAGATTTTATTTAGACGTTCATTGGAACAAATACTTCATCTGTTTATTTCTGTTTCCTGTCTGCTACTTCCTGTTAGCATGAAGCTAACACTGGTACCATACTAAATAAATAAAATTAGCCTGAAACAACAGTCTTCGGCGTACGCCACCTATGACCAGGTGCATTGAGGGTACTGTATTGCTGAGTTGTGACCAGATGCAGAGGGAGCACTCGTTTGGTGGCGCAGGACATCCGGCCAGGCCCCGCAGAGTCTGCTTTAGGGCCAGACCTTCATGAACGCCACCGGCTGAACGGCCCACTGAGCCGGGACACCTGAACGCACCAGGGCTACAGAGAGGGAGAGAGGGGTGGAGTGGGGTGCAGAGACAGAGAGATTTTTTAAAAGGTAATTCTCTTCCACCAATCTTTATAGAGTCCAGCAGCATGAAGAGAGGAACCAGGTGTGAAGCTATAACAATGGAGGGGTTTGTGTCCGACTAGCCGCTGGCTGTGCACTATGCTAATGACCCGTGCTGTGAGGTAGACGCGCAAGTATTAGAAAAATCGAAGATGAGGCTTTTCAGCAGCCTCTGGAGAAGCATTTACTGTGCGACAGAAGAGCTCCCTCTGCTGGGGACTTTGTGCCATGCACACCGTACACATTAACAAAAAACATTTACAACCCAGTAGAGGACTGGGAAAGAAGTAACTTAGAGCCCAGCAGAATCATATTGATGGGAGAAACCAGCTGCCCAATCAGAACTCAGTCTCAGCTGTCAATCATGTCAGTCGTCTCAGCCCAGTTTTATATCATCAAATAACTAATTAAAACCAAACTAATCAGAAACACTTGAACAAACAAAAGTTTGAGCAGAACTACCTGAAATGACAGAAACCATCTTTAAACATGTATTTAACGGCTACTTTGATATTTTTTTGTTTGGTCCATGTCCCATCTGCTAACATGAAGGAGGAAGAGGGATTATGACCTATACTGTAGCCAGCCACCAGGGGCTGTCTAGATGATTTAACCCTAGGGTTATGCAATTAGTTGTAATGGTTAGGAGCTAGGGAATGCATTATGTTATTGAGTGTCCTCACAACTATGGAAAGACATGTTTGTGTATTTACCTGTGTGTTGATCTAAGTGGTGGAGAAGGTCATGTGATCAACCTGGTTCATCTTCAGGTGGTTGTCGAGGATCTGACAAATCTCCTGGATGTTCGGGACGTAACCCGACTGAAGCTTCGACCAGACGGGAACATCTGAGAGACAGAGGGGGCAATAATCACCGTTAAACCAGGAAGTCACATTCAGAGAGGGGACAACTGTTACACCTTTTAGATCCCTTGAAATTAAGCTGCATTAACGGGACCCAGCAAGATGGCAGAGGCAGCACACGTGCCGTCAAAAGCTCCGTGTAGCAAACATTGAAGACTGAATAATATGGACTTTTAAATTCACAAGAACATTTCCCTGTTGTTCCCATGTAACATATATCAAGTGAATAAGACTAATCATTGAGCATCCTGTAAGTGAACTCGGCCACTTTTAATGACAGCTACAACATGTATGAAGCTAACGCCAAGGCTGTCCTTACACATGACTACTGTGGACCAGAAAGCACAGAGACAAGCACCAAAGGAAATAAAAACATTTTAAACATCACCTTCCAAGCAACCATTAAAGAGAGAGTTCACTGAAAAATGGAAATGTAACTCATTATCGACTTAGCACTATGATAGAGGGGGGGTGAAGTTTCAGGAGTAAACAGTGTTTTAATCTGAATGTCTCTGATACCCTCCTCTGGGAAACCATGCACACTCTTGCCCAATGGCACGCGCAGGGTGCAGCTTCATGTTGCTACATCCGCTAGAATCACCACTTCCCTTAGTGGACTTTTAGGTTACAATATAAATGATCTAGTTTGAGTCAAATATGAATGTCAGGGCTTACGGACACTTGGATGACACCACAGGAGCAGAATGGAGGGCGATTGAAGAATCTACAGCTACTTCAATTGAATTGGATTTGGCTGCAACGCTGTTTACTCCCGAAACTCCGGAAATGTTTTGTGGATTCAAACACTTCTTGAGTTTCAGAACCAAGGACACATACATCAACACATTTCAAAATTCTGAGTGACATTTATCCACCAAAAGAATGACCGATTACATTTTAACATCGACGATAATGTGTTCAATTTGTGAAAATGACACTGAAACGACAGAACATATTCTTCTTATGTGGTGCAGTACTTTCATTATAGGCTGATATTCACAAATGGAAAGCACTAAGAATTCTACCATTCCCAGCAGCCTTTCTTCTTTCTATCTTTGTTATGAAAAGTGTTTATGCTCAGGCATTGTCTATGTTCAGTGTTCCACCTGGCATAATATCTATACCCCATTATTGTACTAAAGGTAAAGTTGCCATATTTGATCTGTGCATTTCTTTAAAGTTGAGTGACCGTTGAGTGACGTCATAATATTTTTGGACCAAACGCACTCACCGTTCAGAGTGACCTCGAAGGCTCCAGTCGACAGGAAGTGAGTCTCCATCATGTTACAGAGGAAGAAGGCCATGAGACAGGAAAAGATCTGAACAAACACAGTCATTTGATGTTTGAGTTGTCACCATGGTAACCAGCTACAGCATCAATTCAATTTTATTTGTATAGCAGCAAATCATAATATACATTATCTCAAGGCTCTTTACATACAAGGTCCTTAAAATCTTATTTAATAAAGAGTTCCCCCAATGAGCAGCACTTTGAGACTGTGGAGAGGAAACACTCCCTCGTTAACCTCTAGCAGAACCAGGCTCAATGTGGGCGGCCAGCCGCCTCCACCGGTTGGGGTGAGCAGAGAAAAATGGGGAGGAGAGG